CTCAAGAACTCTAAATGTCCTTACCACCTATAAAAAGTGATTCCATAGAGCGTATTTTTCAAACATCATTATAACTTGTCCATAATTCAAATCTCTTGATGTAATGTAGGTTTAGAATATCAGTGAAAGACCTTCAGATAGGGATGCATTGATACTTCAAATAAATCTAGATGGAATTGCACTTTTTCTAAGTAGCAGTACAATTGTGCAGGCCTTGTTTTAAGATTACTTCAGTGAAGATAATTCTCCTTGTAAACTGCCCACTTTTATTGAAACACCAATATTTGATTCTATTACTTCTGTAAAGCAGACACTCTAAGTCACTGCTTATTTCCATTCTTTGATAACAATATTATAACCTGTTGGTTGGCTTGGAAAGCACGGTTAATGATGGAAATGTATTATTAATCTGTTTGTACAATATATTCAATTGATGGTAGAAAAAGCTTTAGAAGATACATTTTACTAATTACGCCTCCCTACCACTGAATTTTAAAATATGTCTAGAAGTGGACTTTTTGTGGGAAACTTTGTTCTTCATAAAATACATACTGCAAGGATTTTTAAATTCATATTGCAAATTAAACTATGCCAACTTATTATATAATAGTCATCATTTTATAGTAATGGTGCTAACATTTTTTGTAGTATAAATGTTTACTCATGGAGAGTTTTAAAATTACAAAACATGGTTTATTTTATCTTATTTCAGTGCTCAAATTACTGACATACAGACTACAGAAATCATTTAAAGTAAATAGTAGCTGCTATATTTGTAAGATGTTTCCTATCCAATTTTCATATAATTTTTTCTGTTCCTCTTATAATACATTTTCCTGCATCCTGCTAATGGCTTCTGTGCTTCATAAGACCCGTGGAGAAAAAAGTGAGAGTAGCCTTGTGTTCTGAGGCGTTCTGGTCAATAGGGAAGGACACATGCTTTGCCAGTCCATTCATAAGAAGGAATTTCACAAGACTACAAGAATTTTAACTACATAAAAGGAGCAAACTGTTAGGTGTAGGCAGTGAACAAGTGATATTTCAAGTTGCCATCAGTTGTGATACAACATCATGACTCTCCTAATTTGTACATTGTATTATTATATTAAAATAAAAATTTTTGTTAAAGCAGTGAATAAGAATTAATATTGGTGCATATAGAAAAAAACCAAATTCTGTGAGCTTGAGAAATTAACATAGAAATTAATAGTTCCTTTTTAAGGTGAAAATATAATATATTATTGGTTATTTTGCTGTGTTTGCATTTTAAGGCCTTAAGAGAATGTCTAATATATGGAGTCAAATTCAGGAACTACAAGATTTTAGAAAAATAATTATTCATTTATTCTGTCATTCCTTATGATTTATTGATGTGCCTCAAAATTGCAGTACAAATGTCTAATTTTAAATATACTGTCCTCAAAATCATTTCACTTTAAATAGGACCATGTTTTATTTTCTCACTTCTCTGTTATCACGTGACAGGACTCTGTTTATGGCTTGGCACACATAGATGACCCAAGCCATACAGCTTGAGTTTGTTAGTCATTTTTTACCCAACTCAACCTCATTCTTCCATAAGGATATATTCAAGTCACTTGGCAACACTGTCAGAGTCTAAAAATATAACACATGACCAATATGCACTATCTGTACTTCTACTTCTGTGCAGTGCTTTCACATGTGATGTCATTAACTGTTGATAGATTAATGGATTGCTTAGCATCCAATGATCCATAATGATGAAGCCTATCATTTTACAAATGAAGCAATTAAGAAGCCATGAGGTGATGGATTTGTCAAGACTGATGAATGATAGGCTCAAATGTGAAACAAATCGAATTCACTGTTATTTTTTTTCTTTATTATTATGGTAAGATCATCTATCTTCTTTCCAAAATTGATATACACCTCAAACATGGAGATTTAGTTCACATTGTACTGTTAAAATGCATAATACAATTGGCCAAGCAGAAATCTAGACCCTGAGTATATGCAGTGGTGATTTATGTCATCGTTATCAGAGAAATAATGTTTTTATTATTTTTATTCTCTCTAAAATAAAAGAAAGTTTTGAAAAAAAGTAGAAGATAAAGTATACTACAGTAAATAGTGAATCAGAGCCACAAGGTATTATTTCAAGCAATGAGAAGATAATATAACTCGACTCCTTAAGAAAGAGTCAGGTAAAGGAATACTTGCAATGGTATAAATTTTTCTTTGTGATTTTAATTTTCCAGCAATTAGAAAAATAATAACAGTTACATTGGTGTGGAACCAACTTAGTGTTTTGTATGGAAAGATTTAAAAAAAATAAAATTCAGGGAAAAATTAAAAAATGACTCTGCTTTTTGTGTATTATCATTTAGTGTTTCATTTCCTTGGGCTCACAAGGACATTTTTTAACTCCATATGAAAAAACATGCAGTCTCCAAGATGCCATTACAAAGTAGATAAAATGTCATCTCAAATTCTCAAACAAAATTTTCTTTGAAAAATAGTTCTAAGGGAATAAATTTCAAAATTTTTGCTGCAAGTTATTTTTCTGGATTTTTTAGTCACATTGAATATTGTATCTTACAAATTTAATTTTTCTACTTGATAATAATTCACGATATCAGAAAATTAATTTTTCTATGTCAAAAAATTAGATTTACCCTCAGATGGCAAAGACTTTTTCTGTGCCTGAGGTATACAGAATAACAAGCATAGTAATGCTCTTCCAGATCTACTTTTTCACCTGTCATTTTCCACTCACGGTTGCCAGGTAACCGTGATGATAACCTGAGCTACCTTTTCTAAAGCACAATTTTTGTACATCTTTGCCTGTAAGATTCTTCCATGACATAATCTCACTTTGAATAATACATCATTCTCTCTAAAATATGGCCTTTAAAATTTAATAAAAAATACAAGAAAAACAAAAGATGAACTCCACTTACATGCAATATATATGCTTTTATTTTTTATATTTATATATTATATAGATATTGCAGATATTAAATGAAATTTTAGAAATTTTCAATTATAGCTAAACCTATTCCACTAGTCTTTCTAAGAACAAAATGTTTCAATAACAAATTTGTGAGTAACACATAATTCTGGAGAGCATTGGTGATGTCAAACCAAGCAAATTTTGAGTCATGAGACCTATGGACAGAAGGACCCTGGAAATCCAAAAATCCCTTCTATGGTAAACAGAGATACGACTTTCCCATGGAGAAGTGGAGCACGTCACAGTGCTAAGATTGCACTCTACGGGATCGGCAATGTGTGTGGCCTGCATAGCTTCCCATCGCTGCACTGGTGGCTGAGTCTTGGTCACCTGCAACATTGGAAGTAATCAGAATTACTTGGAACCCTTCATTCCTGTTAGTAAAACAGTTTGCTCTAGTATCTGTTGTATTACAATGTTAATTTCGTTTTCATGGGTAAAGGCTCTGCTTTCTCAATTGTAGGTGCTTTGTTTTAAAAATAAATGGCATTCTCGTCCTATTTGTGTATTTCCACTGATGCCTATCAGTACCTTGTTAATGATTTGTGAAGTTGTAGAGTTACTTGAGCAATAAACTTCTGAGAAAATACTTTTTCTTCATTGGAAACATAAACATGGTAATACATCTCTTAATTTACCCAAAGAACAAAAAAGTTGTATAATTTTATCCCTTGATTTTATTACACAAATTGAAAGCACAGGGCCAGCTGTTTTTACATCCTTGCTGCATTTCAGGAACCTATCCATGTTGAAGTAGTACAGAATAATGTTTCACATTTTTCAGTGTCCTATGCCAATTATTCAATCAGGAATAACACTGTGGTTGTTTTTTACTACTGCATCTATTATGAGATGAGTGATGAGATATGACAAGGTTATTACATGGCCTGTTAGTGTATTTCACAAAACTGAAATGCAGAAAATGTCTCTGGAACTCTGAAAGCCTTTATAAAACTTATATTTAGGAGAGAAAGGGAGAGAGACAGATTTTAACTCCCATCTAGATTTTACTGAACTTGAAATAACATGTTTGACTTTCTTTTCCTGTAATGAAAATCTTTATAGTACTAATTAGTATTTTGAAACCATGTTTTTGTAGGTTTACTTTTTCATGAAAAGACAAACGTTTCTAGTAAAACATCTTTTCTCATCCTGACAAGACATCCAATTACTTTCTCCATAGACAAATATCATGAATGAGTACTGAGTTATTCTTAATTTGGAATGTTTTGCTGTAGGTTGCCTATTTCTTTCTTTCTTTTTTTCCCAACCCTTTTCCTACCCTGTGTAAATTGTTCAGACAAGTAGAGACATAAAGGAGTTTAATGGTGTTTAGAAACAAACTATTTTAAACTTAAGAAGAAGATAATGGGCTTCCTGTTATTTGGATCAAAGCCTAATATATCCATTTTGAGACATTTCTATACCATAGAAGGGGAGGTTATCATCCTCCTAATTTGATGCTAAGATACTAATAGGTGCTGAAAAATTATAATTTTTTATTGCTGTTTTCTCTAAAAGTACCTTTATGCACAAAGTGAATTAGGAGTTTTTCTTTTGTTTTGTTGTTTGTTTTATCGTACTGTTTATAAAGGAATTACAGTCGCAGCTTGTAGAAGGTGCTGGATGTGTGAATTCTGTACAACTGAACAAGAATCGCTGCCATTTTGGAGGCCATCGAAAATACATTTCATAACTATGAATTAAAAACAAAGAATTCACAAAATAAAACCTAACCCCAGTCTGTATGTGACAACCAGAAAATTTCAAGGAATATATTCTTGTCTTATGAGAAACAAACTTAGAGCTATGAAACAAAAATTACAATGGACATTGCATGGATTAATGCATTTCGGATGAGAAGAGATTCCTCATCCTAATTCATATAGAGTTGATATTACAGTAAAGAAAAGATGTGTTAGTATGCACATATATATTTTTAAAGGCATGAGACATGGTGGTTTTCTTTCTTATCTTTTGTTTTGTTTTGTTTTATTTTTAACAGTGCAAAAGAAGCAGGGGTAGGTCATAAGCAGTGGAGAGCTCTCCCATCACCCACCTGCAGCCAGTGCCCGATGGTCTCCACGAGCCCTGTGTGTGGTTCTGACGGTCATTCCTACTCCTCTCAGGTAAGGAGAACCATATTCATTTAATTTAAAACCAGTAATGTGTGTTTCTTAATAAACAGTTAAAATGATTACTACTTCAATGTGGTTGTCCATATAATTTATTTATTCAACTTTTGAAATAAAATAAATAATTCTACTGGGAAGGAATATGATTCAATGTAAATGAATTTCTTCTGTCAGAATTCTTAAAGTATGAAATACTAAAATTGTGAATACTCTGATGTTTTTAAATATGAAAACTAAGATTTCCTTTGCTTCTTCTTGGAAGGTGTCAGAAATGTTGGCTGGCTGTTAAATAGCACTAATTAAAGTTATTTTTATAAAAACAATGGGTGCTATAATTTGGTACTGAAATTACCTTTAAAAACTTTCATGTCATCTCCTGTATCATCTCATTTTCACCTCCAAAAATAATAATAAAAAAAACTTTTACCAGATGAGAAAACTATCAGAATTTTATAGCAAGCTGACAAGTTGAACACGTTTATTTGACATCAAAGGCAAGATTTGGTGTCACCTCTATTTTTATTATCTCTGCTCTTTTACATTATCCTGCCTTTTTACTTGGCATTACATATTGCTAAAATATTTAGGAGTTTTTTCAAACTTCCTGTAAGACATTGTTGAGTTTTCTTTGATAATGTGACCAAATGGAGTATATGCTTAAAGTCTCTTACCTGAAAACCTCAGGGCTGGGTACAGAAAATGAGAAAGAAAGTTGGTGAAGGAGGTGCAAGATTTCTAGCTCTTAAATCACTAATCTTTGTTAATAAAGAATGAAAATTATGGTTAGGTAGTTTGAATCACTGTTGAGTCCTTGTATTTTATTTCAGCATAATGGTGAGCTCCAAATTCCATGTCCCCTTCTTCACACATTTTAGTTTCCTTCCTGGATAATCCTGACACAAAGGCTAGCCAGAAGCCAGATTATTATTCTTGGGTGTGGGAACACACATCCAGGGCAGAATACAGATCCTGGTCTTCAGGCCTTCCTTATTCAAGTTTTTGTGTTTTGTATATTCTGATTTCTTCCTTCCGGCAGCTCAGCTACAGAGATGAAATTATAAATGATATCACCATTACATAACTTAAACTATACTAGGTTCAGGAGCTGGGAATTGTATGGTAAAGAGGACTTTCAGAAAACATTCAAAGGGAAGACTTTAGTGAAAAGGTTATAATTTTTGAATTATAGCTTGTTACACAAAGTGACCAATTTTGAATATTTTTCTGACACTCACACTCATCAGTCTTTCTAGAAATGTTCAGGAGACAATTTAAAAACTTTATGCCTTGGAAGTTAAATGAAAAGATGAAGAATTATAGAAAAATAGGTTCACTTTACCAATACATTGGAAAAATTGGTTTTCATAATTATTTTTGTAACATTGTCTATTTTTCTGTTAAGAAAGAGGAGTCACATTAAAAAAAAAAAACTGTACTGAATCTTACCTTTCAAAAAACCAGTGATTGCTGAATTCTTTGAAATTTAGCTGTGCCAGAAAAATCAAAATATAACTCTGTTCGAGTTTATTTGAGAGGTAATCACTCCTGAAATTGACACAAAAAATGACGGTCTTTGTTCCTTTACTTCAGGCAAAGTCTATTTTGATTGTACTGTCAAGCTTCAGTAAGAACTAGGAATTGTTCCCCAATATAGCATGTGCTAGACCACGGATATATTTGTCACTTTATGTAAATTGTACTATTCACTTGCAGTGAGCATAATCCGTAAATGACAGTACTGTTTTACAACTGAGCAGGATAGCTATAACATAGACTCCCTGAGGAGGACAGCAGTAGATTATCTTAAACTCTTCTTCTGTTGTATTTAATCATCCCATACTTAGCAACTGAGCTGAACAGTGGTGAATAACCTGGGAATGAGTATTGCTTATAAAATTGTGTGTGTGTGTGTATTTGTGTATTTGTGCTCATGTGTACACAAACAAGCATGTGCACATTGAGACAGGGAAAAGGAAAGGTTATATATTTTGTATTTGAATGCCAAATCCAGCTGCAGAAGTGATGCTTGAGTTTGTTTGAAATGGGACTCTGAGTCTACCTAAAAGCTCCCCAAGATTTTTATGTGTAGCTATAGCAGAGAATCACTGTTATGTTCTTTCATATTGCGTATATATATATATGTACACATATACATATTCAGAAGCAATAATATATATTTTAGATATAATTGTGTAATATATGTAATGAGTATATAATATAGATATTATATATACACATATGTAAATATATATATATATCTATATATATATTAGAATAACATTAGCATTAAAGAAAATTCCATCCTATGTTGTAATATGGTAATATTCCATTTTAAATTTCAGCATACTAGTATGTTTTTTACTTTTTGTCATTTATCTTTCCATAAGTGAGACATGATGTTACTTCCTCTTGATATTTATTAATTCTAGTGAATATATGTAGAGTGTGAAAGATAGATAATCCCTGATATATACTCACTATAAGTTTGATATGGTATACCTATTTGAATTTGAATTATTTGTCATATCTTTCTTTCTCTGAATACTTTGTCTGAGCTGTGACTGTTTTGCAGTTGGACTATCATGAGTCGGAAATAGATGTGCACTCCTTCTATTTGAACTTTTTTCTGTTTAAGCTGGGTTTGATGTTTGGCTCAGACATTTGGACTTGATCATAATTACAACCCAAATACATTATCATGACCATTTGCTTGGAAAAGCTCTTTTTAAAGCACTGAATATCAGAAGAAATAGTATGGATAAGCTGTGTCATAATACCTCAGATATAAAAAACACTCAGTATGATATTTAGGGCACTAAGACCTTCATAGGATATGTGAGATAAACCTCTGCAACTGAAAAGTTCTAATTGTGAAGAAAGCTTTTCTTCCTATATATTTATTTGACTTTTAACAGTAATTTTCTTTACCAAGGGGCTTACATTGAAGCACAAATATGTAATCTTTTATATATAATGACTTTGCAACCATGACTTCTTAATTTTGTCATTTCAAATACAGCAAGAAGTTAAAGGACACCTGCAAAATGTCCTGAGGTGTAAAAACTTATTTAAGTTTTATAAAACTATATGCCAGTGTTTTAGAATTACATCACATGCCTTTATTTCCCTAGATGAAACTTTTTATATGGTTCATTGCATTGTGTCTGAGACATTCACTATTGATTCCATACGAAACCAGTCCTCTGCTTTACAGTGATATGAACCATATTTAATCAAACTGAGTTAAATTATATAACTATGACATCAACTCAACAAACAGGTTTTAGAAACCAAGACAGTGACATGGAAGTAAGCATAAAATTCACATGAGTTTTACATGTTTGGCACACTGTGGGCACCAGTAATTCCCTGCAGAATGATGGAGAGAGAGCTTTCAATGTAGTATTTTCTTCCTGTGGACTAACAATTATTCATTCAACAGATACAAACTAATGTGCTCCTTATCTGTCAGCATTATATATTAGTGTTAGATGTCATTATCAACTAAAGTTGGAATGGTATTTTTATCAGCTAAACTTGCAAAATTAAAAATTAATGAATTGTGATTCTTATGTATTTTTGGAGAAAATATAGTATGTAAATAAATTCTCATTGTTTTTCTCAATGATGTATTTTTTCTCAGTATAACATAAATATGGAACATTATATGTGAAAAATGTAGTGTCAAAATTCAACCTTTCACCATTTTAGTGTATTTAAATGTATGCATAAATGTAAAGAAAACAATAATTTATAATCATGAATATTTTTTTTTCTTTTGTGGAAAGAAAAATGAGGTCTAAGAAAATTAATTTAAACATGAAAACAATATGACATTTCTGTAAAGGAATTGTTATTGAAGACTATTTTTGTTAAATAGTCATTTCTGACTTTTCAATTACAAAAAATACCACCTTCTATTTTTGTGGCAATAAAATGCCTTGCTTCTATATTATTTCATGATTAAATCACTTTTGTAACATATTATGTTGAAAAGCTCAACTTCATTTTGTTAATGTATTGTCTTGGTTACTTTTTTCTGTTTGCTGAGACAAAGTACCCAATGCCCAAAATTAGGGAGGGAAAGGTTTATTTAGCTTACAGTTTGTGAGGTTTCAGACTATAATCAGCTGGCTCCAAGGCAGGGTGGCAGGGCACAGGGGCAACATTTCAAGGCTGCACAACGCAGCAAAAGCAGCAAGAGCTGAACGGGGGAAGCAGCAAGCTAGCCTCTTTTCCCTCCTTATATGGTACTCAGGCTACCCGCCCTATGGTGGGTGTAGCACTCACACCCATAATGCCAGCACTGGACCAAGGATCAATTATAAACTGTAGAAGCCTGCCCCATGACTGCATGGAGCTTTGGGGGGATACTTAGACAAAAACCATAACATGCATGTTCATGAGTTGTACTAGAAAGTTTTTGATACTTAAGAACTATGATTATCTTTGGGAAATATTTTGTTGCAATTAATAAGTGGACCCACTGTATTTTATAGGCTACCACCCTAGTCTCTCATTCTGTGCTTATTACTTGTCCTTACTTCTCTTTCAGCAACATGCTTTATGAATTACTTAACATCTCCTTTCATTAACATTAATATAGACAAGGATTATTTCCTGGTCTGTTCAAAATTTTGAAGAAGCCTATTCAAATCTATAAGTTTAGGGTAAATTTTACTAAATTTAAATTGTTCTTTCTTGAGGTTGTAATTCTTAGCTATATGTAAGTGACTGTGTTCAAATTTATTTTAGAAAACTTCAATGATATGCAGAGTTTATATAATTTCATTGACTGTCTCGATTGTTTGGACATAACTTCTGTAGCAAAGGAAAACTGGACAACTGCTGCTTCTTTCACACACCTTTGTTTGAAATAACACATACATGATATCCAAATTTAAACCCTTGTGATCTGCTCACACTTATTCTTCCTGCCAGTTCCATATCACATTAAGAAATGACTTCTGCTCCCATCCTTCTCCACATCATTT